CCTGCCAGCCAGATCACCCCTAACTGCCCCCCCCGCTGGCCCAATTGCCCTTAACTGCCCTCCCCTGCTGGCCCTATCGCCCATAACTGCCCTCCCCTGCCGTCCTGATCGCCCCCTAACTGCTCCCCCCTGCCAGCCTGATTGCCCCTAACTTCTTCCCCCTGCTGGCCTGATCACCCCTAACTGCCTCTGCCTCGGCCCCTGCCACCATGGCTTTGTCCAGGAGGACGTCTGGAAGATGTCCGGTCTAATTAGCATATTACCCTTTTATTAGTATAGATTTGGGATGGTGAACAAATTTTGGAAATAAATTGTGGGGATGGCTGCACAACAAAGTAAATGCACTTAATGCCACTAAATTGTGCACTTAAAAATAGTTAAAATGGTAAATGTTATATATTTTTTTTACCACAATAAAAAATAAGTAGCCCTGACCAGTGTAGCTCAGTTGGTTAAAGTGTCGTCCCATGCACCAAAGGATCATTGATTTGATTCCCTATCAGGGCACGTGCCTACATATCACGTTTGGTCCCAAGTCAGGATATGTACAGGAAGCAATTAATTAATGTTTCTCTCTCACATCAATGTTTCTCTTTCTCTCCCTCCCTCCTAAAATCAATAAAAGCATATCCACGGGTGAGGATTTTAAAAAGTAAAAATGGATTGCCTAATTTTTTTTCAGCCCTTATCACAAATTGTCACCAACATTTTTATTATGAATTTAGCACCCCACCATTTATAATATATAATAGTTCCTATTTCTATTACTCACATGTTCTTACAGCTGTTGGTCATGCACATACATATAACTTTATGTAGTTGTGGTTAGTATTTCCATTGAACCTGCTCTGGTCACTGAACATTGACTCTGTGTGTGTATGTCTATGTGCTGACATAGCTCACCTGGTGTCACTTTGAAACACTGTGGAATTCTATCAGGATAATGTAACACAATTTGCTTAACCATCTCCCTTTTGTTGTTTGTGTTCATAATTTTTTTCTATTACAAGTGGTCCTTTTATGTAGACTTTTTATCAGATATTATTTGGATAATTTCTTCTGGTGGCATTTCCCAAAGTAACTATCCAGGTAAAGAGTATGGATATGTGGATATGTTATTAGTTCTACACATTTTGGAAATTGGTCTTCCCAGAGATTTTCCCAATTTACAGAATTACAGTGTATAAATATTCTTGTTTCCCCTTATTCCAACTAAACTTTACCATTCTATTTATTGTGTATTATTTCTGGTACTTTAAAATTATTCTCTTAATGTATTTCCTTTATACTGTATATATTCATTTTTCCACACACTAGGTTTGCATAGTAATGTATTTCCTCAAGTGTTAACTGCTCAGTTATTTCTTTTGGCCACTGTTCATATGGAATTTTAGCATTTATTTGAATCAGTTCTATTAATTCTTCACTTTGAACCTTTTATCAGGATGTCTGTCATGTATATTTTCTCATTATTGTGCTTTTCTTTTTGAAAATATTGATTATTTTTCTGATTATAAAAGCAGAATATGTTTAACCCTACCAGACCTGAGGCCCTGAACCTAACTGTCCCCTATACCTGGGCTCCTGAGCATTAAAGAGAAAAAACCAACATGATATAGAAAAATGTTAGTTACATGCACACAAATGGTTAGAATAAGATGGAACTTGGAGACATTGTAGAAAATAGGTCTAGGCAAAGTACCAAAAATTAGGTACAGCGGTATAGTGGTGGATTCGGAAATTACCGAAAAATCGGTACAGCGGTCTGGTAGGGTTAAAGCAGAACATTTGGAAGATACAGATACGTTAAAAAGATAAAAAGATAAGAAAAATAATCCAATAACTATATTATTTAGAGAGCAATGCTAGTAACATTTTGTTGGATTTCTTTCCAAAGTTATTTCTATATAACACACACATTCACATCAAAACTGGCATCTTGCCCTAGCCAGTTTGGCTCAGTGGATAGAGCGTCAGCCTGCGGACTGAAGGTTCCTGGGTTTGATTCTGGTCAAGGACACATGCCCTGGTTGCAGGCTCGATCACCAGTAGGGGGGCATACAGGAAACAGCCAATCAGTGATTCTCTCTCATCATTGATGTTTCTCTCTCTCCCTCTCCCTTCCTCTCTGATATCAATAAAAATATATATTTTTTTTAAAAAAAAACTGGCATCTTATTACAGAGAAGTTAGTTATCTAAACTTCTTTTTTTTTATTGAGTTTATGGATTGACATTGGTTAATAAAATTATATTGGTTTCAGGTATACAACTCTATATTACATACTTTCTCTTTCACTTAATGTCATCTGATGTCCTGCACTATCTTTTAAAATGTCATCCTTTTGACTACATGAGATGTTATCATACAATTCACCATAATTTGTTTATCTGTTTCCCTAGTGGTCAACATTTAAATTGCTTACAGAGCTTTCTTGTGTGTTTTTGTTGTTGTTGTTGTTATTTTTGGGGAGTAAGTTCCCACCATTATAAATAATGCCATGGTGAAACCTCACACTTAAGTCTCAGTATTTATCTCTAGATTTGGAAATGTTCCTAAAAGTGTAATTACTATTTCAAAAGATTTGAATCATTTTATTACATATGTATTATTAATTTCAGAGAGGAAAGGAGAGGGAAAGAGAGCTAGAAACATCAATGAACAGAGAGTATCATGGATCTGCTGCCTCCTACACGCTACCTACTGGGGATTGAGCCAGCAACCTAGGCATGTGCCCTTGACCAGAATCAAACCCGGAACCCTTCGGTCCACAGGCCAGCACTCTATCCACTGAGCCAAACCGGCACTAGGGCTATTTTAGTACTCTTGATCTAAATTGCCAAACTATCAAATTTATATATCCACTAATCTGAAAGAATGCCTACCGTATATCCTCACTAATACTAATTATCAATTTCTAATCTTTGCCAATTCAATAACTGATAACTTATTTGTAATTTTCAATAATTAATGATGTTTGATGCTTTCCTTTTGAGGTTTATTTTGTTGCATTCTGTTGTGTAACTATTATATTTATACTAGAGGCCTGGTTCATGGATTTGTGCACCGGTAAGGTCCCTCGACCTGGCCTGTGCCCTCTCGCAATCCGGGACCCCTCGGGGGATGTCGGAGAGCTGGTTTCAGCCCAATCCCCGCAAGCCAGGCCGAGGAACCTCTCTGGGTCCGGGGTGCGGGTAAGCAGATTTGGGGCCAACAGTGCCCCAGCAGCAACCTAACCCATGGCCAATTCCATGAGGAATTGGGCTCCCTCCTCTACTGGTCTGAGAGTCTGCCCCCAGTGGTCATTACACATCATAGCTACCAGGTGAACAGTCAAATGGTCGGACAGCCGCTTAGGCTTATATAGATATTCAGATCTGCCTACATGACCTTTGATAATATCTTCATTTCTTCAGTAGTTAAGATTTCTTCCCCTTGTGAAAATGTGCAATCATAAAAGTATTGGGAAAGGTTGGTGCTTCTGTGTGAAAATCTGGCATCAAACTGACTGAGGCTGTGCCTTGCCTCCCACAGTTGCTGGAGAAAGGCCTCCCGAGCATGCAGCAGCCCCTTCTCCAGGTCATCTACAGCCTGCTCAGCTACATGGACCTTTCGGTTGTTCCTGTAAAGCAGTTTAACGTGGAAGTTCTGAAGACCATCGAGAAATATGTGCAAGTGAGTATTTAAATAACTGCACTATTAACCAGGGAGTCATTACAGAAGGACTGAGGACTTGCATGTAGCTTGCACTTGGCCACCCATTTGACTATTCATTTATATTCTAATACACTGAGACAGTCAAGAGTGATAGCTGATCACACCGTAAGTGGCACACTGAGAAGACAGACAGGACCAGGCCCTGATAAGTTTCTTCAAAGGACACACTTATGCCTCTTGGGGCTAACGGGTTGGATATTAAAAGCACACACCTGGCTGGGAGGGCAGAGTCAAGGAGAAAGGGAGAAAGAACTTGCATGTCCCTGGTTCTAGACCAAGTGTTTCAACATGCAAAGGGTGAATTCAGTGGTTCAAATTACTACTTTAAAGTTGAGGGAACTAAGGTTAAGTAACTTGTATAAATGTACTTGAAAATACTACAACAAATAAACCGAAGAAAATGTTGGGATAAATAAATCAAGATGATTAAATGTACACGGGGGTTAATTTTACTAGTCTCTCTGTTTTGTGTACATTAGAATATTTCTATAATCTAAAAAATTGTTTAAGACCACCTTGTTCCACCATACACATGAATAAACTCAAAATGGATTAATGACTTAAATGTAAGACTCAAAACCATAAAACTCCTAGGAGAAAACATAGGCAGTAAAATCTCAGATTTTTCTCATAGCAATATTTTTACTGACATATTGCCTCAGGCAAGGGAAACCAAAATAAAAAAATGGGACTACATTAAACTAAAAAGGGTTTACAAATCAAAGGAAACCATCAACAAAATGAAAAGACAGCCTACTGAATAGGAGTATATATTCTCCAATGATACATCTGATAAAGGGTTAAAATCCAAAATTTATAAGGAACTCAGACAATTTAACACCAGAAAAACAAACAACCCAATTAAAAAGTGGGCAGCAGACCTGAATAGACACTTCTCCAAAGAGGACATACAGTTGACCAATAGGCATATGAAACAATGCTCAGTGTCACTAATCATCAGAAAAATGCAAATTAAAACCACAAAGAGATACTACCTCACACCTATCAGAATGGCTATCATTAATAAATCAGTAACTGAGTGTTGCTGTGAATGTGGAGAAAGGGAACCCCAGTGCACTGCTGGAGGGAATGTCGATTAGTACAACCACTGTGGAAAGCAGACTGAAGTTTCCTCAAAAAATTAAAAATGGAATTGCTTATGACCCTGAGATTCCACTCTGGGAATATATTCAAACAAAACCAAAACACTAATTCAAAAGAATATATGTACCCCTATGTTCATTGGAGCGTTATTTATAATAGCCAAGATTTGGAAGCAGCCCAAGTGCCCATCAGTGAATAAAAAAGCTGTACTACAGGAGATCCAAGATGGCTACCGATGGGATGGCAAGCTGCAAGATAGTGTGTGAGTGAGAGAACAAAAACAGAGTGCGTGGACGTGTGAGGAGTGTCTGTATTTGTGAGTGAGGGACAGATATATTCCACAGGACTGTTGGGACTGGCAGACTGGGCTCCTCTGGCTGGGCAGCCTATACTGCTGCTGAAATCTCTCCCGGAGTAGCTGGCTCTGCTGCAGAGACCACGCCATCCTGAAGGGGAGACTGGCTGTGATCAGAAGCCCAGCCTTACCTTCAACCGGGGAAACCTCAAATACCTCCCGGAACCCTACAACCACAATGCACAAGGACCAGCTGCCTCAGCTGCAAACCCACGAACACTAGGACTCCAGCCTCCCTGACCGCAGGCACATAAAAAGTCTGTCCAGGGGGAGACAAAGCAGTGCTGAAAATGTGGATGGGCCTTGTGCCTTCTCACAGAGCAGATAGAAGGAACAGCTGAATCGAACAACACCCACCCGGAATTGGTGAATTAAACACAGCTGGTGAGGAAATCGGTGGATGGAAAGGTCAGATATTGCCTAGAGAAAGCTCTGCCTCCTCAGATTCATCTGGGTGTTTGTTGTTTGCATTTTTTTGAATTAGTTGTTGTTTATTGTTTGCATTCATCTCTGTGTGTTTGTAGTTGTTTGCATTTTTTGGGTTAGTTGTTGTTTTATTGGAGTTTTCTCCCCATATACATATATATTTTTCCCCTTCTTTTTTCTTCTCTTGCTTTTCTCTCTTACATTTTTTCCTTTTCTCAATATCATTTTTGCACTCTTTTCTATCCCCTAATTCTCTTTTCTCTCGTGGTCACCTTTATTTGTGGTTATTAGTATTGTGAATACATTTGTGTTTGGTGTGTCTTGTTGTGTTGTATTTTGGGCCTTTAAGTCAACACAGGAGAGAGAGAGAGATACATAACCAGACACCCTGAGGGGAGCAATCATGGGGAAACAAAGAAACAGCCACATATGAAAGAAAAGGAGGTATCACTGTAAAAGGAAGTAAATGAAATGGAGACAAGCAATATGTCAGAGAAAGAATTCAGAGCAATGGTCATAAGGATGCTGAAAAGGTTGGAAGACAAATTCAACAATATGTGTAAGAACCAAGAGGAAATAAAGAAGAAATACAAAGAAATGAAAAATGACCTCACTGCTGAACCGGTTTGGCTCAGTGGATAGAGCGTTGGCCTGCAGACTCAAGGATCCCAGGTTCGATTCCGGTCAAGGGCAAGTACCTTGGTTGCGGGCACATCCCCACTGGGGGGCGTGCAGGAGGCAGCTGGTCGATCTCTCTCATCGATGTTTCTAACTCTCTATCCCTCTCCCTTCTCTGTAAAAAATCTATAAAATATATTTTAAAAAAGAAAGAAAAATGACATCACAGCAATAAAGAACTCAATAGAAAACATCAACAGTAGACTAGAAGAAGCAGAGGACCGCATCGGTGAGCTAGAAGACAAGGTAGGAAAAAATACCCTAGAAGAGCAGCATCTAGGAAAAAAAAACTTAAAAAAACAGGAGGAGAGCCTAAGGGGAACTTTGGTACAACACAACACAAAACAACATCACATAATAGGGGTATCAGAAGGAGAGGAAACTGAGCAAGGAATAGAAAACCTGTTTGAAGAAATATTGACAGAAAACATCCCTGATATCGAAAAGAAAAACTCACACAAGTCCAAGAAGCTCACAGAGTCCCAAACAAAATGAACCCCAAAAGACCAACACCAAAACACATTATAATTAAATTGGCAAACACCAACGACAAAGTAAGAATCTTAAAGGCTGCCAGAGAGAGACAGAAAGTTACCTACAAAGGCTCTCCCATCAGACTATTGACTGATTTCTCAACAGAAACACATCAGGTCAGAAGGGAATGGAATAAAAATATATAAAATCATCCAAAGCAAGGATCTGAATCCAAGAATACTGTGCCCAGCAAGGTTATCAATCAAAATTGAGGGTGAAATCAGGATCTTCACAGACAAAAAAGGACTGAGTTTATTACCACCAAACCAGCAATGCAAGAAATGCTAAAGGGTCTGCTGTAAAAAGAAAAAATAGGAAACAAAGAAGGAACACAGTGGTAAAGAATAAAAATGGCGACAAACAAGTACCTATCAATAATAACTTTAAATGTAAATGGATTAAATGCCCCAATCAAAAAACATAGGGTTGCTGCGGGGATAGGAAAACATGACCCATATATCTGCTGTATACAGGAGACCCATCTCAGAACAAAGGACTCACACAGACTGATGGTGAAGGGATAGAAAAAGGGTTTTCAGGTGAATGGAAATGAAAAAAAAGCTGGGGTATCAATACTTATACCTCATAAATTAGACCTCAAAGTGAAGGACATAACAAGAGATAAAGAAGGCCACTTCATAATACTAAAGGGAGCAATTCAACAAGAAGATATAACTCTGGTAAACAAATATGCATCCAATACAGGAGCACCCAAATACATAAATAAACTTCTAGAGGCCCTGGCTGGTTTAGCTCAGTGGATAGAGTATCAGCCTGCAGACTGAAAGGTCCCAGATTTGATTCCAGTCAAGGGCATGGGCCCAGGTTGTAGGCTCGATCCCCAGTAGGGGGCCTCCAGGAGGCAGCTGATCAATGATTCTCTTTCATCATTGATGTTTATATCTCTCTCTCTCCCTCTCCTTTCCTCTCTGAAATCAATAAAAAATATTTTTTTTAAAAAAAACATCTGAAGGATATCAAGGGAGAGATTGACAGCAATACAGTCATAGTAGGGGACTTCAATACCCCACTAACACCACTGGACAAATTCTTTAAACAAAAAATCAGCAAAGAAATATCAATCCTAAATGACTCACTAGATCAGATGGAATTAATTGACATCTTGAGAACATTTCTCCACAAAGCCACAGAATATACATTCTTCTCAAGTGCACATGGGTCATTATCAAAGATAGACCACATATCGGGACACAGGCAAAGTCTCTTCAAATTCAAGAAGACAGAAAACATATCAAGCATCTTCTCCTATCACAGTGGCATAAAATTAGAAATCAACTACAATTAAAAAAAAAATCAAACACCTGGAGTCTAAACAGTATGCTATTAAACAATGATTGGGTCACCAAAGAGATCAAAGAAGAAATAAAAAGCATCATGGCAACAGATGACAATGAAAACACAACAATCCAAAATCTATGGGACACAGTGAAAGCAGTCTTGAGAGGGAAGTTCATAGCTCTACAGCCCTACCTAAAAAAAAAAAAACAAGAAAAAAATGGTAATAAATTACCTAACCCTACAATTCAAAGAGTTAAAAAGAGAGCAACAAGAAGAGCCCAGCATAAGTGAAGGAAGGAACTAATAAAGATCAGAATGGAGATACACAACATACAGACCAAAAAAACAATACAAAAGATCATCAAAACCAAGAGCTGGTTCTCTGAAAGGATAAACAAGATTGATGAACCTCTGCTTCTTGGTGTATAAAGGTGTATAACACCTTTATACACCAAGAAGCAGAGAGAGAGGACCCAAATAAACAAAATCAGAAATGAGAGAGGTGAAATAACAACTGATCCCACAGAAATACAAATGATTATGAAAAAATACTATGAACAAC